AACTCATAGTTCTTGAAGGTCCAAAAAGGTCCATGTGCAAAAGTGGTAATGGCCTAGTCGTAGAAACAACGTTCTTTGACTTAAACGAGGCCCTTACTTGCTTCCCCTTTTGACATGCATCACAAATTAGATTCTTCTCAAACTTAAGTTTAGGAACACCAATTACTAAGTCTTTAGAAACCAACTTATTAAGATGGTCCATATTAACGTGAGCTATCCGACGATGCCATAGCCACGTTTCTTCCTCTTTGGTAATGAGGCACTTAGCTAAGATAGACGGGGAATTTTCAAGATCAAACATGTAAATGTTATCTACTCTACTACCACAAAGAATAGTCTTATCATCACACAAGCGTTCTACAATGCATTTACTAGAATCAAAGATGACACGGTTACCTCTATCGCACAATTGGCTAATGCTAAGAAGATTGTGCTTGAGGCCCTCAACAAGAAGAACATTCTCAACGGTTGTAGCATTGTCTCTCCCAACGGTGCCACTTCCAATGATCCTTCCCTTGTTGTTGTCGCCAAAAATGACATTGCCACCTTTGAAAAACTCTAAACTCTAAATTTGGATGCGTCTCCGGTCATGTGCTTGGAGCATCCGCTATCGAGATACCAAGAGGCACTCGAAGCCTTCAAGCACACCTACAAAAAGATATCAAGGAGACGGTTTAGGTACCCATGTATTGTTGGGTCCTTCTTGGTTAGCATATGTGCGATGTGTGTGCGTTTGTTGGAAATGCCTAAGTTTGGTGAAGCACACAGGTGCAATGTGACCTATCTAATTACAATAATGGCAAATAACATTTGGATTATTCATCCTATATGGTTGAGTGTAATGAGTTCTAGGTATGCTAGGAGGTGCTCTTCTAGTTTGATAATTTGTCTTAGCATTTTTATTTCCCTTAGCTTTAACAAATGTTGTTTTTCTAGGTGGGTTTTTCTTATATCCAAGTCCTTGGCCATTACTATGTTTTTACCTAAGTATTTTATCTAATGTGTTTGAGGCATTATTAAACTTTCCCAATTTGCTTTCTAAACTAGCAACTTTAGCTTTTAATGATTTACAACTAGAGCATGTAGAAGAAGAAGTAGATGAAGGTTCTTGTGGCCTTTTTCCAAAAGAGATAATTTCTTGTTTAAGTTTATCATTTATATTTTTGATTTCTTTGACATCATTCTCAAAAATCAGGATTATTTGCTTTATTTCATTGTTTTCTTTGGAAGCCTTTTTGAACATTCCTACAAGTTCTTCTACAATGCAAACTACATCATTAAGAGTTAAAGGATCATTGGGCGAAGGTTCTTGATCACTTACTTCTTTTGATGTTTCTCCATCTTCAATGGCCATGAGACATAGATTGGCCACTTCCTCCGTTTCCGAGTCTTCGCTCCCGGAGCCGTCGTTCTCCCAAGAAATGTAGGCACGTTGCTTCTTCGGTGCCTTCTTGTCCTTCTCGTTCTTGAGCTTCAGACACATTGGTTAGATGTGTCCAATTTCACCACACCCATAGCACTTGGATGGAGTGTTCTTCTTGGCTCCCTTCTTGAGCATCATCTTCTTGAATTTTCGGACAAAGAGTCCGACGTCAGTGTCGTCGCTGTCATCATCTTCATCATCAACGTTGTTGTGGGTTGATGTTGTTGTGGGTAGAGCAATAGACCTCTTGCTCCTCTCTTCAACCACCTTTGAGAGTTGGGTGGTTTCGTAGGTAATAAGATTACCTCGAAGAGCATCATAGGTCGTTGTTTGGAAGTCACGACCTTCTTCGATTGCGTCCACCTTTGAACGCCATTTGGGGGATAGGCTTCGCAGCACCTTTCTCACGAGCTCTCGGTCGGTGTATGTTTTCCCAAGAAGATTGAGAGGATTAATGATGTTAGAGAACCTCTCAAACATTTCCTCAATCTTCTCGTTTTCCTTCATTGAGAAGAGTTCATACTCGTGAGTGAGGTGGTCGATTTTGGCCTCCCGAACCTGCGCGGTTCCTTCGTAGGTGACCTCCCATTTTTCCCACATTTGTTTTGCGGTTTCACACCGCGAGATTTTGCGGTAGTCATCCGCATTAACACCGCAATAAATCATGTTTATTGCCTTTGCGTTGAGCTCCATCTTTTTGCAATCTTCGTCGGTGAACTCCTCTTTGGTTTTGGGGACGTTGACCTCACCGACTTTCTTCATCGGGACTCCACACCCGTTCTTGACTATCAACCACAGTTTGTAGTCGTTGGATTGGATGAAAATCCTCATCCTTTCCTTCCAATAGGAATAGTTGGTTCCGTCAAACAACGGTGGCCTTGTGGTTGATTGTCCCTCGCTAACTCCTGCGTTGAACATTCTAGATGCCATTGATCTTTGAGTTCCTGAAATTTAAGAGATATTCGAAGAACTTCCTGCTCTGATACCAATTGTTAGAAAAAAGTGCAAATCTAGAGGGGGGTGAATAGAGTTGTTCGCTAGAATGAGCGTAAATCACGTGTGTGATAATTAAACAAAATCGCAGGAAAAATGTAAAGAGCAAGGGAAAGGAGTACACCGTGATTTATACTGGTTCACCACCTCGTGGCTAGTCCAGTCCTCCGAGAGACTCTCTCAAAGGTTCTACTAAACCTCAAGCATCAACGGGTGCTTGAAAAACCGATACAACTCGAGAACTTGAATCACACAAGCCTCAACTTCTTACAACAAGACTTGAGTCACACAAGCCTTAACAACAACAAGACTTGAATCACACAAGTCTTAGCAACACTCAAATAAGATTGATTTTACAACACAAGAATGAAAGCTCACACAATTGAGCAAGAAATGTTGAAATATGAAAGCTCTATGGATGACAAAATCTTTAGCACTCAATAAAAATATTTCTAACTCTCAAAATAACATATTTGATAAGAAAGATGGAAGCAAGAATTGAATATTAAGCAATGAAGGTTTGGAGTGCAAGAGATGTGTTTTTAATGAAGGAGGATGAGGGTTTTTATAGCTAGGAGTAAAAGAAATAAATCCATTGGAAGTAGGGAAGAGGTGATTTTGACAGATTATAACGTTGGGGATCGATCCAAGGGTGAGAATCGATCACCTGGAGTAAAGAATTGAAAAACAATATCTGTCAAAGGCACGGGGGATCGATTCAAGGCAGGGGATCGATCCTCTAGAGTCAAAAATCTGGAAATGATTTTTGACAGAGTTACGGCGGATCGATCCAAAGGGAATGATCGATCCACTGACGGATTTTCCGAAAAACAAAATGATCGATCCTAATGAGTGGATTGATCCAACTCCCAGAGCGCTAAACATGGTGATTGATCCAACAAAGAAGATCGATCCACTGACGAACAAACCTCAAACATGAGGACCCAAACCATGTGTGCGAGTGGGATGGATATTTGGAGCTAAATGAATTGTTTTAGACAACAATTTGAATATGATAAGGCTCTGGAAAACAAACAAATCAAATGAGTTGAAAAGAATTAATTCAAATTCAAAATTTGAATTAAATATTGAATTTTGTGTAGAAATTGAGTCCCAAAAATATTTTGTGTGTCAAACGTTGTACAAGAAAAATATTTAAGTTATATTTTTCTTACCACAAAAAAATTTGTGTATCCTTAAAAAGTATTTTAAGAAATTTTGACACACTATTTTGAAATTGACTGAGTAAAATATTTTTAGACAGAGAAAAAATAATTTTTCAACTGACTCAGAAAATAATAATTTTTATCCCTCAAAAATTAATTTTTTTATGCAAAAATTATTCTCATCCTTACAAATATTCCTAGACTCAATAAAAAATAAAAAGTCTTCGGAGTCTTCACTTCATTTCAAAAAACTGCGTAGGGGTAATCATTGATTTTTATCGCCGTAAATTTCTTGATATGCCTCTTTGCTTTTCTCGATACGAAAAATAAATTTTCGATTATCCTTTGAATTTAATCATCCTGCTTGTTATACATCAAAACAAAAATATTCCAGAATAATAAAGGGGTTTGAACTCATGTCCAACAGCTAATGTACTCCTTGCGCCCAAGCCTCCAAGCACGAGAATGCGCATAGACTACACTTATTTAAATAAGGCATATCCGATAGATACCTTCCTGTTACCAAGCATTGATTAAATGGTGGATGGGATGGAATGGAAGGGTGTGAGCTAATGAGTTTTTGAATGCCTTCAATGGGTACCACCAGACCCAAAGCATCTAGCTAGCAAAATATTTTCACAAAGTTTGGGAATCACTATGAGGTTGATGGTCTAAACATTTTGTTGTTTTTGAAGGAGGTAGAGGGTCCCGCATCGTCCTTATGGGTCAGTGTTTTTTCCAAGTGAGAATCATAAAAGCTTACCTTCTCGATAAGGAAAAGCAAGTCTAGCCCCTCAGGTCCCCTCCTATTATGACGTAAAAATCAATCGCAAGACCCAATATCTATCATTCGTAAAATTATGTGTTTTAATTTAGCCAATGGGGAAGCAAAGTTTACTATGAGGTATTTTAATTGTGAGAGGTAACGACCTAAGTCACCAATGCACTAAGAAATTCAATATGTTGCCTTGTATAATAAATAAATTACGAATTAAAATAGTATTCCTCGTCTCTAAGTCTTTCTTTTTTATTTTTTCTATGTCCCTAATTACTTTTTCTCCTTTCTATTAAAAAACTATTTTAGCTCTACTAATTCATACCCTATTTATCACATCACTGCTATTCACTAATAATTGATCTTCCTATCACATTCAAGTCATACCAATCACATCAAGAATATTTTTTGGAAAATCAAAACAAAAAGATCTCTCGTTAATTTTTGTTAAAATCACAGGAAGAAGTTTAGTACCAATCACATCAAGAATATTTTTTGGAAAGTCAAAACAAAAAGATCTCTCGTTAATTTTTGTTAAAATCACAGGAAGAAGTTAAGAGGCGATGGAATATATTCTTGACACATTCATCTAACTTCACACATAATAAGGTAAAGTATTTTCTTTAACTACATGTATATGCAGTACGTAGCTGAAAGGTATATATATAAATGGATTCATCATCATCAAGCACATATTCCTCTCCATGTGCTGCGTGCAAGTTCCTCAGAAGGAAATGCTTGCCAGGGTGCATTTTTGCACCATATTTCCCTCCAGAGGAGCCACAGAAGTTTGCCAATGTCCACAAAATCTTTGGGGCAAGCAATGTGTCGAAGCTACTGAAAGAGCTCCTCCCGGACCAACGAGAGGACGCCGTGTGCTCACTTGCGTACGAGGCCGAGGCGCGTGTGAGAGACCCTGTCTACGGCTGCATTGGTGCCATCTCTTACCTACAGAGGCAGGTGGATCGCCTCGAGAAGGAACTCGACGCAGCAAACACAGATCTCATGATCCAGGCTGCCACAACTGCGAGCAAAGATGTGTTCAAACGACGCACTGCTGGTCCATTCAATCGGATTTAATCCATTTGTGATGATTGTCTCGGATGGGAAACCTTGGCTTTTTATAAACTTGAATTGAAATCATTGATTTTGCACGATATGGCACACATCTTAACATTATTCACCTAGAGCTACGTACACAATTATCAACTACTTTAGTTCAATGGGCTACCATTAATAATAAATTAGCTAATATCATTTTAATCATTTTGGTCTTTTTCAGACAGAAAAAACAGAGGTTGTTGGTTTCTTAAAACTTGTAGTTTCATTAATATTATGGTTTCTTCTTGTTTATTTTGCTTTCTAAACTACTCCCTTCATTGTAATGTATTGAGTTTAATCCCTATTAAGTCTCTCTATTTAATTTATATAGAGTTATGCGGTCCACGTTGGTTCTCTAAGTTCCCATCAAATGTAATCACACATCTTGCACTTTTAACAAAACACACACACACATCAATAGATATATATATATATATATATATATAGATTTTGGTTCTGGTGAGAATGCAATCTTAGGAGAGAAATGAGAATGAATCTGGTGCTTTAGATTGTAAGATCTAAGGGTCAAGATTTCATCAAAATTAGATGCACCAAAATGGTTCGAAAATGCATCACGTCGAAATGCACCATAAACCTTCGAAAATGCACTATCTCAAAATCTGAGCGCAAGATGCAATCTGAGCCGCATGATGCATCAAATCCGACGGCTAGATTTTATTCTTATTTCTCTCCACAAGATGCATTCTTACGGGAACCGGCCCCTATATATATATATATATATATATATATATATATATATATATATATATATATATATAATAAATGAGATTTTATTTAAAAGGAAGCAAAGTACAGAAAGGGGCTGGCCAACCCCAACAAAAGGCCAAAGCATAAAAAAAAAGAATATAAAAGGTAAGAAACAACCAAATGGGTCTAAACAAAAGGAGAGGGACACAACTCATAGAACATCCCCAAAATGTCTTTATCTTCTTGACCCCCACTACATAGAAAAATAGTGAGTAGGGTCTAACCCACTGTGAATGTCGACCTTTTATTCTTCAAGTGACAGCCATGGAACCCAGACCTCCATGCCTGAGTTTCATTCTATTTGCAGGACAATGTGAGACTGCCCACCCCCACACCAATAGTAAGATAATAAGGTATCAGGAAAAACCATCAAGTATGAGAAACTATGTCTGCCTTAAATGCAACCCAAACCCTACCCTAGTCCTGCCAATTTGAGTGCCAGCCCTAAGCAAGCCCATGCTTCCTGCTAAGCAAAACCCTACTGCACTCCACCAGCAAACAAGCAACCATGGAGCAAAAACAAACCCATAGGCTAAAGATCACACCATAACAGAGACTAAACTAATATGTCACAAAAGAAACCATTCGAGATCAATCAGAATCATCCCTTTCCTGCCCTCCTACCATTTTCTTCTTAAGTTTCTTTTTAGACCTTTTCTTTTGGCTCTTGGTTAAAGGCTTATTTGAGGACTGATTTTTGGTTGCTTTTTTTGGTTTGTTTGGACAGCATTCCTTGAAAAAATTTCTAATGTCTTCTGCAAAATTAGACTCTGAACCATTTGACCTTTCCTCCCATCCAATAGGTGTTTTCTTTCTTCCTTCTTCCAAAATCTTTGCGTTACTGCGAGTTACTATTTGAGAAGGAGAATAGATATTCCTACCCTTGAATTCTCTCCCCAAATCGAAAGGTGTTTTGAACATCCTAGAGTAATCTATTTGAAGAGGTTTGAGAATGTTGTCATTGAAGACCTTGTCTTCACCTTCTGAATGCGTAAATAGAATAAGCCCCTCTTTTTCTTCCCATATGTCTTCTAGTGCGTTGTTACAAAGAACCATGTTCCCATCATCAATCTTGACAAATTCATCTTCCGAGAGTGGTCTGCCATCTTCTTGGTCATTTACTTGATCAAATAGAGCTGCATAAGAGTTGGGCTTAAGGGGAATGAACTCCGCGGAAAATGGGGATATGCACACTCTCGGAAGCTCGGGGTATTGAGAGTTGTATGTTGAAGAAGCCTCTGCCTGAGCAATGTTCGCCTTTAGCTTATGCAAATCCAGATCCAAGCAATAAGTCTGATCAGTATTATTTCCATGTTGTAGATCCTGCCCTTCCAAAGGTTGTTCTATTATGTCATGATTCACAAGACTAAGAGACTGTTCTTCATACTCTTGGGCTGATTCTACCACCTCCTGCGATAGATCCTTTTTGGATTGGGAGTCATAAAATGGATCCCTTGCCACGTTTCTGTTTAGATCCTTAAATTTTTGCTCTAAGGCCAGAGTGGCTTTAGAAGCAAGTGTGGGAATCTGTTCACTAGAGTGCACTGGACCATACTCTGTCTCTCCCAAGACAGCAGCCTCAATAACTCTATCCCCTGAAAGTCCTAAAGCTTCCCCAAACTCCCCAAACCCGTTAGCCTTGTTTAAACACCGAGCTCTCTCAACGAAGGACGAAATAGCCTTAAGGAACAGATTAGGCCCTTCATTGTGTACACCAAAGGGGATATGAATGAACCTGTTACCTTCTTTTCTAGCTTCTAAAATCCGAATATAATCCCCCCTACGATTAGAGTCAGTAGCAATTTCCAGTGTTCTTTTAACATCCAATTTAACACAAGCCCAAGTAGAACCAGAAATCAGTCTAGGAAGAGATTCCAAGACCCAATTGAGTGAATCAGAATCAAACCATAAATGGATTCTTCTCCCCCTATCAGAAATACTGAATACCTTATTGTAGACAGAGTAAAATAGCTCAAATACCTTATTGAGAATTCTGAATTTGAATCTAATGTTCTTGCTATGCCATGGAGAGGTAATTTCTTTCTGACCCGATAATTTATTACAAGAAAAAGGAAAAACAAAATACAAGGCAGAATGTGTACTGCCCAAAGCCCAAAACGATAGAAACAAGTCTAAACATAACACCTTACAAGAATACTAAAATGCAAATGAAAGGCGCCAAAACAAAGTAGGCCAAAAAGGGGGGGGTCTATTGCAGCATGTTGGTTGCTGTATAATGGCCCTCAAACAGCATGTGATGTAATAAATACATCTACAACAAACCAACACGTATCAAGACAAGCTGCTTGTAAATCAACAGCTATTCACCAAGACAAACTGCTTGTAAATCAACAACTATTCTCCAAAATGTCTTGTTTCCCTTTCTGTATCTTTTGGGAAGTAGTCCAAGATGGAAAGATTGATGAAAGGTAATAGAGGAACTCTTGGCTATTCCAAACTATTAAAAATTAATTTATGGAGAGCTAAAACATAACGAGCCTTGGCACAAAAGCAGACCTTGAAACCAGCCTTTCATAAAGTTAATTGAATAAGCAAAACAGAGACGAAATTAGGGACTTTAAAGCAAACCTTTCTCCTGAATTAATCTAGTTTTCAGGTCTGTTAACCTCTTGCTCCTCCTTGGCGTGGGGGAGTCTTTAAACTGTAAGCATAGCTGCTCAAACTTCCTCTGATTTCTCCTTTTACTCGTTTCTTTCCTAGCATGCCAGTCTGGTTCATCTTCCGACCCTCTATCTGTAACCCACTCTTCTTCTGATTCTTCTAGAAAAGGCTTAAAAGAAAGCTTTGTCTGCTTCTCTGATCCTGAGTTGTAGCTCACGTTCCACTGTGATCTATCCAAATCATCATTATCAGAATTGGAGCACCCCAAGAAGTGGGGTTGGACCTCCTTCGGTTGTGAGCAATCCTTTGCACCTAGAAGAAAAGGTTGAGCTGCTGGAGAGAGAGGGCTATGGGGGATATGAAAAGGGGGAATTGGGGTTGCAGAAACTGGTTGTTGTGGTTCCTTTATTGGGGAAAAATGAGTCTTAGGAGGAATGTCAATAGGTGTGTGACTATGATCACCTGGGATATCTAAACTGAGCAGGTAAGAAGAGATTGAGAGCTCAAAATGCACTGACGAGGTGGGGGAGGAGTTAAAACACACAACTGCTTTGTCCAAAAAAGGAGGAGGTGGGGGAAGAGATAATCTAAGAGAGTCAAAAGCCACCTTAAAGTAGGAGGTAAAGGAGGTTACGCCCAAACCTTGGTTTCCTTCTGGAATATTGATCCAAACCTTTCCATCCTGGTGGAATTCACTAAGTCTAAAGTGGTTACCGATTCTAGAGGCTTGGAACGAGACTGAAAGCAGTCTCTTGTTCTCCCTCTATTGAGAGGATCGTATGTATCCCTCTTGAGTGACAGATTGGAGATTATCCATTAGCCAAGCACAAAGGTCTAAACCTAGCCATATATTCAGCTTCCTGCTCCTCTGAATTTCTGTAATACATATCTTCTTATTGAATTTTGAAGGCGTAAAGAGAAAAGTCTTACCTTCAATTCGGAACTTTTGAGTTTTAGAGATTGCTATTGATTGGCAGGGATTTTTGTTTCCATCTCTGATTGACGGAATCCCCCTTAAGATGTCAGCGTAGCTATCTCTGTTGGTATGAATCTCAATTGAAGACTTTGACGGGGCTGAATCATCCTTGGAAGAGGAAGGGATTTGTCCATTCACCGGTTCTGTATAAAATAAGTGTTGAGGTTTGAGGATTGGCGGAGCAGATGAGGGGTGGCGGTGAGTTTGTAAAGAATTCCGACATGAACGATTTGCTGGGAGTGGAGTTCCGGTCACTAAATCAGAGCGTAGAAAGCTCTCACCTCTCTCTATAGATCTCGCCATATACATATATATATATATATATATATATATATATGTATATATATATATATATATGTATATATATATATATATATGTATGTATGTATGTATATATATATATATGTGTGTGTGTGTGTGTGTGTGTGTGTGTGTGTGTGTGTGTATATATATATATATATATATATATATATATATTAAAACAAAATTTTTATTGATAAAGAGGTGGGGAAGGAAAAGATACAAAAGATAGCAAACGTTCGGGGGGGACTAAACCGATACCCCGAAGGAGAGGGAGCAACCCGATAAAAGAAACAACAAAATTCTAAGTGATAACAACGGTTATATCAAACAAACAACGGTTATATCCAACAGACAGTGTGCCGAAGCCAAGTTGCGCTTCAACACCCTCTTCCTTGTACTGTCCAAGCACCCAGGTCCAGACCGCTATCAATCTCCCACATAGTCGTTTGCGGTGAAGGTTTTAATTCTGTGGCCATTCAGCGCAAATTATTGAAGACCCTCCTCCGTAAGAGTATCATCTTTATGCATCCACCATTTTTTCCTAAATTTCCAACACCAAAAGGAGATGTTGTGTTTGATATTATGTGTGATGCTAGATAAGGAATCCTTAGTGTTACCGAAGACTGTAGAGGCGTAAAGTTTCCATATAGACCATGTGATAATCCCTGGGGCAATGAGGCGTAGGTTCCCTTTGATTGATTTGTTGTTATGCCTCAAATTCCACGCCAGAATATGTTGTTTAAGAGTGCTACCTGGAGTAGGGTTAGGACCATCCAAAAGGAGAGCCATTCTCTCCCAGATGGGCATAATCAGTGGACAATGGAGAAGACTGTGATCTATGTTACCATCATCTTTAAGGCAGAATATACACTGGGAAGGGAGAGAGGTGTAGATATGAGTGTAATTCTCCGGGAAAGGTAGGAGATTGTAGTTAAGCTTCTAGAGAAAGAGCTGAATTTTGGGAATCTGCAGGTTATCCCAATTGTATTTATCACTAATAGGATAGTTTGAATGGGTTCTGCTGTGATTGAAAGCTTGTTTGAGAGAAATAGGCACCACTTCAATTTGACCATCTTCATCTTCCTCAGGTAGTATGTCCACCATTAAATCTTCAGTTCAGGAATTGATTCTGCACATCCTCTTTATAATGGTAGAGTCAGTAAGCTTTTCCTTAAAATTAGAGGTGTTGTACTTACCTCTCATGAATTGAGACCAGTTACTATCATCAAATTTAAAATTCCACCAAAGCTTGATTGAATAAGCCTCTTGTAGTTCTCCAAGGTCCCTGATTCCCAGCCCTCCCTCTTCTTTAGGAAGGCAAATTTTGTTCCAAGAGCACCAGTGATATTTCCTTGTGTTTTGGTTGTGTCCCCAGAAGAAATTAGCCATCATGGAGTGAAGTTTTTGAATAACTGATTTAGGTAGTGAGTGCACTGCCATGAAGTGTAGAGGGATGGTAGATAGCACATGTTTGATCAACACCAACCTTCCAGACTGAGAGAGGGTACGGTTGTACCATTTATCAATGTAGTTGCTGAAGTGAGATATTAGATCCCCACAATCCCCTTTCCTTAGAATCCCTTTGCAAATTGGAGTACCCAGATATTTAAAGGGCAGAGAGCCCTTTTGCATTCCCATTATGGATTCAGCTCTAGAAGATACCTGAAGGCTGCCATGTTTACCACAATAGAATCTACTTTTAGAAAGATTGATGCTTTGGGAATGAGAGAAATATATGTAAAACCAAATAATTTGGGAACAGGAATCCCCAGGAAAAACTATTGGCTGGCTTTTAAAACATCATTTTTAATAATGTTCCAGGTGGCTCTGAAGAAACTCCCATTGAAACCATCTGGGCCAGGGGCACTGGCAGGGTTGAGCTCCCAAATGACTGATTTGACTTCCTCTTCCTCAGGTAATCTGCATAAAGCTTCATTATCAGCATGGTTAATAATAGGGTTAATGAATTGGAGAATGTTCTGTGGTTGAATAGCTTTAGAGTTTCCAAAGAGGTTGGAGAAGTGAGTAGTAGCCATGTCTTTGATCTTATCCATGTCGTTGATCTCTTTCCCTTCATCATTGATAATAGAACTGATTTTTGAGCTAGCTCTCCTACCCTTAACATAGTCATGGAAAAATCTGGTACTGCAATCCCCTTCTGTAAACCATTTTATATTGGCTTTCTGTTTCCAAAAGTTGTATTCAATGTTTGTTGCAGTAACTAGCATGGCCCTAGCTTTGTTGTCTCGAGCCCTATTCTCAGGAGTAGGGTCCCTTTCAAATTTGATTTGTGCCTCCAGAGCTTCTTCTTCTGCCTTCTTGATGTTAAGAAAAATGTCACCAAAGATGCTTTTGTTCCAGTCTTTTAGGATGACTTTCAGACCCTTGAGTTTGAGACCCAGACCAATCATCCCATTAAAGTTAGGTACCTCAGACCAGTATTTCTGAACTGTGGGGAGAAAAGTTTCATGCTCAATCCAACAATCAAGGCCTGAAAGGTTTGGGCCCTGTCTGACTATCCTTTTTACATATGAGAAGAATGGGGCAGTGATCTGATGAGGCCTTACTGATGTGTTTAGAGTATGTATCATCATAAAAATCCATCAAAGAAGAATTGATCATAACCCTGTCTAGCCTCCTAAAAACCATCCCATTACTTCTATTACCAGACCAAGTCAAGGGGGAACCAGAGAAGGTAGGGTTAATAAGGTTGCATGACTCACAGCAATCCTTGAAGTCATCCATGTCAGCCTGTATAGGTAATTTTTTTCCCTGGTGCTCATTCCATTCTGCAATGATGTTGAAATCTCCACCAACCACCCACTGACAAGATGTTTGAAGGGATGATAGGTTGTCCCAGAGTTCTTTCCTTACCTGCCCAGAATGTTTACCATAAACAGAGGTAATCCTAACCACACTGTTGGTAGATATGTTGAGGAAGTCACAGTTCAGGAATTGAAAACCCTGACTGGACAAAGTGAGAGAGAGGAGATCTGGATTCCAAAAAATCCAAATCTTGTTCTTAGATAAGGCCATGAAATTCTTCAGCCCAATCTTAGTGCTATAAGTAGAAATCTTATCTGCAGACACCATAGGTTCAATGACAGCCAAAAACCAGAATTTATGAATTTTTTTTAAAGATTTGATCCTTTTGAGAGAGGACCTAACTCCACAAACATTCCAAAAAAGACAAATCATTTGAGACAGTAAAATAAGTTGTCATTATGCCCTTTGTGGCTTCTGGTAACTCTGCTTGAAAAGGGGAGGGAAGGGAAGGGTTGGTGTTTTTTTGGAACTGAAACTGTGATTATGTGTGGTGCAGGAGTGTGAAATTTTTTATGTGCAAGCACACTAGTGTAAACAGGTGAGTCTCCATCTGAGTGGTAGCCTATGCTGTCTAGTGGAGGGGTGGCTTCCTTTGGAGGTGAGTTGTGAATATGTTCTAGAAGCATAGCCAAACCTTTTTCAGGAGAGTTACAGTGGATGTAGTCATCTTGTGAACCTTTAAAGTTAGGCCTTTCTGTAGAGATGTCAAGATTCATAGAGATGGCCTGAGAGGGTTGGGGTAAAGGGTTGGGCTTAGGAAGAGGTTTGGATTTGAGGGCATAGGCCTTAGCTTCAGATAGGCTTGGGAAGATGGGCTTATTAGGAGCTTGTGGATTTGGGGTGTTGGAGGAAATATCAGGCCCAATGAAAGAGGTAGAGGGGGTACCTTGAAAAGTAGTATCTGCGCAGGTGTCCATGAGGTCCAAAAGAAGGAAGGAATTATTGGAAGCTGGATATTTTCTTTTCCATTCAAAAACAGTAGGGCCAGATTTGGAGACAGTATGAGGATGTGGATGTTGGCCTGCAGGAGCATTCAGATGTTTTGTCTTTTTTCTATTAACATTCTCCCATTTGTATTCTTCAGTTTCTTTGATGCTTTCCTTTCCTTTGCCGGAGGGAAAACTTTCAGTAGGTTTAGGTTGGGCAGAGTTGTGGGAACTTGAAGAATGACCAAGCTTTTTACAGATGTTGCAGAATAAAGGCCTTTCTTCGTAGCAGCAGTCAATCAGTAGGTCTTTCCCACCAATTCTAATATGCACCTTGGGTGGAGGGGGAAGAGAGAGGTCAAGTTCGACGCATAATCTGGCTGTTTCCCTTTTGTCTTTGTTGCTAGTATAATCATCCATCAAGATAGGCTTACCCACAAGACACGATATGGTGTACAAGGCTTGGTATTGGATAAGGTGGAGGGGAAGCTGACTAAAGGAAACCCAGACCGGGAACAGAGGGGAGTCTTCACTGGCTTTGTAATCTTTAGTCCACTTAAATACATAGAAGGAAGTTTGGTGTATGAACCAAATCTTTTTTTTGAATGAATCGAATGTAATCTTCTTCTTCCTTAAATGTAAAAAGTACGTCTATTTGGTTGATTTTTCTGAGCTTAAACCAACCAAACTGAAGTTTAATGAGCATAGTTTTGACTAAAGAAAGGTGTGCCTCCTTCTTGAATCTTCCAACAGCAGAAAAATGCATCTTCCCTTCTAACAAATTCTCGTCTTCCATATTGAAGCTAAATAATGGGAAATTTTTGAAGAAACCTTCAACCTGTCCAATGGCAGTAGAGTTTTCTGCTTTGAAAAGTTCAGAAAAGTATTTCCTGGCCGGTGGGAAGGTCACCGGAGACTTGACAGAGGTCGCCGGTTTTCTCTCTCCTCTCTCTAGCCTCGCCATATATATATATATATATATATATATATATATATATATATGCTAAATCTATACTAATATATATTTATAATAATATATAATAATAAATGTGGATCTAGAAAATATAGGATATGGCTATAACAAGTTTTGGAGTTTATTTAGCAACCCCTTACATGTACATACGTACATGGGGTGTGTATCTAGAAAATATAGGATATGGCCATCGGTGCAGGTGGTGCCAGCTCGAATGGTCATCGAATCGGCTCCAGCGGTCCCCCCGAGTTTTGCCCCCTTGACGCTACCGAAAGACGGGTTGATGGAAGAATTTAAGTGTGGGATTTAGCGGCATTTCGAGGTGCAATGAGAGGGCCACTCCACCGGGATCACCATCTACGCCACGGTCATCACGTTTTTTTCGAGGGTGAGAGGGTTTATCAACGACGAACAACCAGAATGGTGGAGCAGGACGTTTTGGGGGCACCATTGGCTCGGGACTATCAGCGTGTAGAGGGAATTTTGACTCGCACCGTTGGGGGTACGAGGGGTCTCCCCTAAGAGATCGTCGGAGAGTCGCGCCGCTCTTAGTTCGCACAAATGGAATAAGCATGTTGGCAAACATAGGCAAAGAAGCGTTGGGACATCTCGGGCAGCATCACAGCGATTGAGTGCGCCGGATGGACCGACGAGCTGCCTCGTCGCATGAACCGCCCCACCATGGCCGAGAGCATATTCAGAACCAGCGCTGATGCTATGCGTCGGATGACGTCGTAGCATGAAATAAGTAGCCCTGAGGTATCGAGCCTCTCTCCCACCAAAGAAAGGAAAAGAAATGTGTGCACAACGATGTTTTGTTTCAACCATTTAGGGCCTCGTTTAACAAAAGACCTTTCTTATTTTTTACTGTCTCCATTAATGACTATTTCGCTCTGTAAGAAGCATACGGGTCAAGGGGGCCCAGGCTATCCTCAATGTCAAACGAGGTGAAACTACCTCAGTAGACTTGGACGTATTTTTCCTATGAAAAGTCCCCTTAAGACAATCCAAACTCCATCAATCCAATCCGAAGAGTGAGAATGTTAGGGTAATTCCTAAACTTGGCCTGGATGAGGCTCGACAAATGAGGGAGCACGGTCGGCCAGAGGCCAAGATCCCCTCATTCCCAAGAACTTAAGCATTCGCGGATCCTTAGGGTCCCACCAGGTGGAACTACCTCTGGGGACTTAGACATATTTTTCCTATGAAAAATCCCCCCTAAGGATGAGTTAAACCCCATCAGCCCAACTGGACGAGTGGGAATGTTAGGGACATTCCTCAACTTGGTCTGGTTGAGGCTTGCCGAACGAGGAAGCGCGGTAAACCGGAAGCCAGGACCCCCTCATTCCCAAGAACTCAAACGTTCCAACTTCTTAGGGTCCCACAAGGTGGAACTACCTCAGGTGACTTGGACGTATTTTTCCTATGAAAAATCCCCCTAAGGACGAGCCGAACCCTGTCAGCCCAACATGATAAGTGGGAATGTTAGGGTTACTCCTAAATTTGGCTTTGGCATGGTGGAGGCTCGGTGAATGAGGAAGCACGGTCGGCCAGAGGCCAGGAACCCCTCATTCCCATGAACTTAAGGGTTCGCGACTCCTTAGGGTCCCACAAGATGGAACAACCTCAGGGAACTTGGACGTATTTTTCCTATGAAAAATCACCCTGAGGACGAGCCGAACCATCAGCCCAACCGAACAAGTGGGAATGTTAGGGACATTCCTCAACTTGGCTTGGTTGAGGCTCGGCGAATGAGGAAGCACAGTCCGTCGGAGGCCAAGACCCTTTCATTTCCAAGAACTTAAACGTTTACGACTCCTTAGGATCGAACGAGGTTGAATTGCCTCAAGGGACTTGGTCATATTTTTCCTATGAAAACCCCCTTAAGAAAATCTTAACCCCATCAGCCCAACTAGACGGGTGGGAATGTTTGAGGACATTCCTCAATTTGGCTTGATTGAGGCTCGGAAAATGAGGGAGCACGGTCTTCCGGAGGCCAGGGCCCCCTCATTTCCAAGAACATAAGAGTTCACGACTCCTTAGGGTCCCACGAGGTGGAAGTGCCTCTTGGGACTTGGACTTAATTTTTCCTATGAAAAATCCCCCTAAGGAAGAGCCGAACCCCGTCAGCCCTACCAAACGAGTGGGAATGTTAGGGACATTCCTCAATTTACATTGTTTGAGGCTCGGAGAATGAGGAAGTGCGGTCTTCTAAAGGCCAAGACACCCTAATTCCCAAGAACTTAAGCGTTCGTGGACCCTTACGATCCCACCAGGTGGAACTACCTCAGGGGGCTTGGACGTTTTTTTACGAGTTGAGCCCCGTCAGCCCAACCAAACAAGTGGGAATTTTAAACAAAATTACTCAACTTAGCTTGGTTGAGGCTTGGGGAGTGAGGAACCGCGCTCAGCCCAAGGCCGCATCATTTCTCCCATACCATGTTCGGTAAGGGACTCGCCAGGTAATAATATACCCACATTCATGGTCGAACACCGTACACAAAAAAGAAAGAAAAAGAAAAGAGACATTTACAATGAATGAACATAACACAAGCCCTAAATGGATAAAATAACGTTATATTAGATCTCGATACATAAAAACATAGTTCAATAATTTCAATCAGAGTCGTCTAAATTGGGGTAAAAAGGCAGCGAGTATGACCAGTGCTCACGCGGAGATGAGGACGACCCCACCGTGGACCAAAGCGACCTCTATGGATGGACGCCAGATTTCACCCACTCAGAGGACGTGGACCGGAAGGGCCACAAAGCAGACGGGCTGGATTCGAAATATGGCGACCACCACTGATCTTGACATTTTCGGGATCCGAATCATCATCACAACGGAGGAAGGAAATCACCTGCCCAAAGATGAACCAGAGGACCAGTCGTGGGCATAAAGATCCTGCATAACGAGGTCCATGGGGGAAGATGAAGGTGTGGGTCTCACCAGATCCAGCACAAGAGCCGCCGGTGGGGCGACTGTCTCCGTAGCAGTCCCCGGAGGTTCTCTGGGGGTGAAGGCAATCGCCGTGGAGGAGGCGGAGTGGAAGCGCAAGGAGGTGAGCCAATGCTAGAAAGGGTGGGAAGCATTTCGGCAAGGAGGCTGGAAAAAAAGAGAAAAGGCATAGGATTTTATAATAAGAAGGTAGGATCATCGAGGAGGGAATGGATTGATTGAAGTGACCGTCTATCTTCCTTAGTAAAGATGAAACGATATACAAGGCAAGGGGCGGTGTGAACAAGTCCCTATGTAGGACGACTAGCCAAGCGCATCGGGCACGGATAGCAAGAAGAACTACCCGATTGGTTGTTATTAGGAACCACGTCAGATCTAAACGAAAAATGGAGTCACCAATAGGACTAAGTGTTGGGATAACATCCCCCATGATTGGTCGAGGGACGGTAAATGGAGTCAAGTAGACGGGGTCAGACTTTTCCAAAAGGGCTCCTACTTGATTCCCGCCTCAGCATAGGGGGAATACGCTTTCCTGAGCTTAGTGGGGGCCAAAGACGAAAGAGTGAAATTGATAAGATTGATCAATATACATTAAACTATAAAAGGAGAATTTAGCAAGGTCAGCATCGGGACCACAATCGATCACGAAAAGGAATAAACACATACATTTTTAGACTAAAGATAATAATATTACATTATCTATGAAGAATAGGAGAGCATTAAAGTTACAAGTCCTCTAGGTCTTCATAATTGCCATGATCGATGCCACCTTTAAGTTTCTCTTCTCCAATAGCCCCGAGACGGTCGATGTCCTAGGCATGCACGACCTCATTGCCTGGATTGGCCGCCTCTAATTACGCCACCTCTTTAGAGGTAGCCTCGTTGTCCAAAATAGAAAAGTCAAAATCAGCTAGGTCGGCGGACTTTTAGTAATAGGGAGGGAAACCAAGCTTGGAGGGGGTAAAGTCAGGATCGACCCGCTAGGCTTTCCAGTACAAAAAATGCTGCATGGCGAGAAGCCGAGAATTAAAGTAAGTATCTCCCTCATCATTTGAGAATTGGCGCCCCTCGGGTGTTGCCGACCCTGCAGAGAGGAGAGCGGGCATGATAATGAGATATTTTTCTTGGAAGGAAGAGGAAGCAGTAAACTTGGTCGTGACTTGGGACTTGACAGCATCCAGCTCACTGGGGAGTCTCTCTTTCACTTCAAATAGGTCTTACTATGTCTTCTTTAGCCGATCGTTCAGCCCGTCCACGGCGTTGATGTAATTCAGCTTGTTGACCTCATGTTGCTTCTCTAGGTCCTCTCTCGACCGGCGTGACTGCATGTGTTGGGTGTGGAGACCGTCCACCTCGGCATCTAGCATCCTGACCCGACGAGCAATCTTAGAATTCACGGACAAGCTTTGCAAGGGCCAATGGTTAAACAAAAGGTTTGCACCAAGGCAAAATGCATAGGGGACGTACCGCAGCATCAACATGACCGCACATGCTGATCAAGTCAGGCAAAGAGGTCTTCATCAGAATCTCCCACTCGACAACATGACCGCACATGTTGATCAAGTCAGGCAAAGAGTTCTTCATCAGAATGTCCCACTCGACAGGAGAGAGACATTGAGGTAGGATCTTAGAGGCCACAAGTGTTCCGTTAAGGAAAGAGGCATCTTCAGGTATTTCCAACTACAGCACACA